GGAGGAGATGAGGAGAAGCCCTCCAACCTCTCACTCCGACCATCGAAGAAGAGGTAGAAGAGGGTCGACGGGAAGACAGGTGAGGGCCCGTCTATCCCATTGACATCACCCTGTGGCAACGAGTGGTACTGAGAATGGCCCCTGGTGCCGCAAGAAGAAAGAAGAGATAGAAGGATGTCAAGGGGGAATCCTCCCCCCCCCCTCGCCGAGAAGAAACCATACCAGGCGATTGCCTGAGAAGCACTGTTGCGAATAAAAAGTCCCGAAGCTTCCCAAAGGCAGGTGGATGGCCATCGTGGAGGTTTTAGGCGGTAAAAATTCGACACTACCTGGCTTCCCTCCCTCAGGGGAGTCAGGTGTCTTTTTGAAGATTTCCTCCATGTAAAAAAAAGAAAAAGGTCGTTATGTATGGTACTGTATCGTAATGTACGGTATGTTACGTTATGGTACGGTATTGTATCGTAATATATTATCTGGATCTGATGGTCATATACTATTCTACGCTACGATCACAAAGAGAGCAATTGTTTAATATGAAACGACGATCTAATATTATTTTTCGACCCCGAAATATTACGGTCCGTCGGTACGGATCGGGGCTTACATGTCCTATTAAAATTTTACTAAACTAGGCTTATATGTCCTATTAAATTTTATCATTCATTCTGACTAAATGTTACCTGGATCTGATTGTCTTATGTTATTCTACGCATCATGGAGATCACAGTGAACACAATTTTTTATTATATAACGACGATCTAATTATTTATCGTACCCGAAATAATACGGTCCTCTGTTATGGTTCGTGGCATACATATGTCATTCAACGTTCTCGACATTCATTCAATATATTATCTCGAACTGATGTTTTTATGTTATTCTAGACACCACGGGGAACATAATAAACACAATTTTTCAATATATGAAGACGACATGATATTATTTATCGACCACGAAGTATTACGATTCTCCGGTACGATTCGGGGGCTTACATATGACCGTTCAAAATCTTCGACAGATATTGTATCAATATATTAACTCGGTCTGATTACCTCATATTATTCTGCGCATCGCGGATCACGTTCAACACAATTGTTTAATATATAACGGCGATATAATATTATTTACCGACCCCGAAGTGTCACTGTCCTGCGGTATAGTTTGCGGCCTACAAATGACCATAAAAAATTTTTGATATTAATTCTGTCACTATATTATCTCGATCTGACGGTCTTATATTATTCTTCAACAAACAGTGAGATCATAATGAACACAATTTTTTAATATATAACGACGATCTGATTTAATTTATGGATGCCTAAATATTACTGTCCTAAGGTATGCTTTGTGCTGACATATGACGATTCCAAATGTTCGAAATTCATTCTGTAAATATATTATATTGATCTGATGCTCTTATCTTCTTCTACGCTTTGCGCGGATCACATTGAATACAATTTTTGTAATATATAACGACTATCTTATTTTATTTATCGACCTTGAAATATTTCGGTCCACCGTTACGGTTCGGCGCTTACATATGTCAATTAAAATCTTTCAAGATTGATTCTGTTAATATATTATATCAATATGATGTTAATATATTATATCAGTATGATATAGTATTTTACGCATCGCGGGGATGACAATGAATACAATTTTCTAGTATGTGACAATGATAAATTAATATTTATCGACTACGAAGTATTACGGTCCTCTGGTACATTTCGGGGCTACATATGACATTTCAAAATTTCCGACATTCATTCTGTCAATATATTATCTCGATTTTATGGTCCTATATTATTCTACGCATCGTGGGGGTCACCATGAAAACAATTTATTAATATATAACGACGATCTAGTGTTATTTATCGACCCCGAAAAATCACTGTCTTCAGATACGGTTTGGGGCTTACATATGACATTTCAAAATTTTCGAAATTCATTTTGTCAATGTATTATCCCGATTTGACGGTTTTGTATTTTTCTAAATCTCGTGGATCACAATTATCACAAATTTGAACGACAATCTAATATTATTTATCGACCCCTAAGTGTTGTGAACTTCTTGTACGTTTCGCGGTTTACGTATGACCGCACAAGAGTTTCGAAATTCATTCTGTCGTTATATTACCTTGATTTGATGGTCTTATATTATTGTACGCATCGCTGTCACCATGAATACAATTTTTTAATATATAACGACGATATAATGTTATTTATCGTCCCTAAGTTATTACGGTCTTCCGGAACGGTTCGAGGTTTATACATGACAGTTCAATAGTTTCGACACTAATTCTGTCAATATGTCGATCTGTTAATCTTATATTATTACGAGCTTCGCGAGGATCTCAATCAAAGCAATTATTCAATTCATAACGAAGATCTAGTATTATTCATCGACCCGGAGATATTACGGTCCTGCGGTACGAGTTGTGGCTTACATATTCAAAATTTTTAACTTTCATTCTATCAATATATTATCTCGATTTGATGGCTTTATATAATACTACGCTTCGCGGAGATCACAATGTTTTTTAATCACACACAGTTTTTTAATCTATAACCAGGATTTAATATT